GCATTTTTTGATGTCATTTAAAAAAAAAAGAAACCTCAAATAGTATTTGAATATTGAAATTTCCCAGATAGCTCACAGGCAAAATCTCAACATTTTGAGGCGTTTTTTTTTTTCTTTCCAAAATCTGTGTTTTTGTTGCTAATGCTCAAAAAATTGCTTCAAAAAGGTTTTTTTAGGATAATATTTCAGACAGGTCATTGAAATGATACATTTATAACACATTTATATTTTGACAAAATGTATTTTTTGCAAGCGTTTTAATCAAAACACTATATCTGCCTATTTCTCCACATTCAACTTTTAGACTTAAACCTTGTTTTGATGTCATGGGTCACATATAATCTGTCTGACATAATCTAATGTGTAAAAGTAAAAATYAAACCAGCTAAAATGTTTATATTTGTAAAGCATTTAAAAGAAGCAAAAACTGTCTGTTAATAACTTTAATGATGAGTTTCTCATTTCTCTTTATTACTGAACTTTATATCAGCCTTAATCAGATTGGGCTAAATTTTATTATTTGTTTAAAACAACAGCTTTCAACCTTGAGAACAAGTGGACCATTATCTCTTTTACTGTTCTCACTCCATATTGTTCCTTTTTTATWTTACACTTAAAGTGTTATTGGTCCACCATGTTGTTTTCAGTACTACCTAGCTCGCTTTCTCTTTGGTTCAATCTGTCCTCTTAGAAAGGTCAGTTCTTGCAGCTTTGTAGCCCCCCCTGCGCCTTTGTAACTCCACAGCCCTAACAATACTCACCCAAACATCAGAGCCTTTGTTGTGACAGCTCCATCTCCCCAAGCATTTACCAGGGARTGCTTTTTGAACCTTTTCATTTGGCCAAAAGAGGCTTCGGGAGTATACACTAGGCTTGTTTTTAAGTCATTTGTCTATTTTTTTACATCCTTTCAACATAAACTAGTGTTTTAAGGCTCTCAAKTTTATTATTTTTTATTCATTTTTGCCAGTTGGGGTTATATGTGGCTTGATTTGTATTCGACTAGAGTTATTTAAAAAATGGTCTATGGATACAAGTACAGACAACTCATACAAAATAAGCCTTCAAATAGTTTAAAATACACTTAGACACAATATGGTTGGTTGGCGTTTATCCTTGAACGTAAAAAAATCAACAATAAAAATTAAAATAATGGCAGTTTCTGATGAACAGAAGAGTGCAAGGACTAATGTAGTCTGATCCACAGAATAGGAATGGAGGCTGTTGTATAACATATTGTGATCTCTTTGCACATWAGTAACACAAAGCATCAGTCATCTTCTACTTTAATGTGTTACACTTTTTTTTGGGGGGGGGGGTCATTTTGCATTTTTGGTGTCTCTTTATTTCATTACTGCTGAAAGACAAAGACAAGTAATGTTTTTACCCATTTTTGTTTGTSTTTTCATGTGTCTGTCTTTTAGCAAAATATCTCATGAACCATTAAAAGGATTTTAATGAAACTTCCTGAGCATGAGCATCTATAACTGATAAACCTTTGGAGTTGAGCCAGTGCAACTAACTAACTACAGAAAACACAAAAAATGACTATAATTCAGTCAGTTAAAAAAAAAACACACTAAAATTTGATGTGGTTGTAGCTGAGAGTCATTCACGTCTCATACTCTAAGTCAGCGGTTCCCAAAGTTGGGGTTGGGACCCACAACGGGTTCCCGAAAATAGCTGAAATTAGCAGAAAGCAACTGAAAGAAGCATAAAATGCTTAAAACAGAAGAAGGAAGCTGGAAGACGAACAAAAAAGTTGAAATTAGCAGAATAATAGCAAAAATTGTCAGAATAGTAACTAAAAAATCTGAAAAAAGCTCAAACCAGCAAAATAGAAGCCAAAGAAAGCTGGAATTAGTACAAAGGAGTTACAAAATGCAGAACAAAAGCTACAGCTAGAGGTCCAGAGTTATGAACATTTTCAAAGGTTTTAAGGATGTTTCATTTTGTTTTCTTTTTCTTGTAATGTATGTTTACCAAAAATAAATCTAAAATATTGAAGACAGCTCCATTTATTTTCAATGAGAAATAAATTGCCAAAACATATCTAATTATCTCAAAATATATAATTTTCTGAAGTACCAAAGGTAACAGCTGGATTGTCCTGAAYGAGCTGAATGGTTTGATATATAAATTGTTGTAATAGCACGAAAATTGCGGAATAAGATATGTGCTGAAAAATGAATGAAAAAAATATGGATCTCAGCAGTGTGAATGCTTGATAAGCATTCACACAAAAAATTTTTCATCTTGACACATTCACATTCTTTTTCGCTTCACAGGATATTTTCAGCTTTCCTTGAGAAAATGTCAGTCTACTTGCTGGGGTAGATTGGAAAATTGGCAAAGTACTATGTACCTCAAAAGTACTACTAAGGGCCATAGAGCAGAGGTAGAATTTCTAACTTAACTTGGAGTCTCCAAACAGACATAAAGCCACTTCAAAGTAAGCAAGGCACTAGTTTGCCATGTGCCCTTCAGCTCCGAATCACGCAGCCCTGGCTCCAAGTTTTCCCCTCCCTGAAGAAGAAGCTCATTGATTTCTGTATAATCACTATAAAACACCCAGTGGCTCAGAGTTAATTCCTCTATCTGCTGTGACACCTTGAAGCCCAAATATCCAGGATGTTGCAGATATACAGTTAGCATGACGCTGAGGCGAGATCGGGTCAATAGAGAAGGCTGCCAGTGTGATCGGAGGAAGTGTTGGTAAACAGCATTTTGAAGAGTTGTCATTTCTGCCTCCAAATTCAATGACTGTTTCAACGAGGCATGATTACTGACCAAGCAAAGACGGCAAACACTTGATCTTTTTTACCCCCTCGAATGCCGCAGGCTGCTAATTTGCCGTCCTGCAAGAAAARGATCATTCCGGGGGTATTTCACGCCCCACGTTAGTTACTGAATCCTTGTTCGAGCACACAAACGTGATGTTGAAGCTCTTAGAACATYATGAACTCACGTTGTCCTCTCTGAGTTTATTAATGGTGATCTTCGCCTCCATTAGGTGGTTGTTGAGAAGAATGATTTCTCGGCTGAGGGCTCTCTTTTCCTCTTCGTGGTGCTGAGACTGCAGTACAGAATAAAAAATGGACAAGGTACAGTAAAAGAGGAATTGGAGACAACCAAATAAAAACAGGATGAGTCAGAGAGAGCAGATGGAAAAAGTGAAAAAAAAATGATACAGGGTTAAAGGAAATAGCTGAGATAATAGGAAGGATGTGGAAGCTAAAGCTGGAGGAGCTGCAAAAAACAAAAACAAAACTAAACTAAACAAAAAAATAACCAATAAGATGATATGAGAGAGAGAGAGAGAGAGCCTGAAAAATGAAAGGAAGAAAGCCTTAAGTCAGTATGAGTTTGAAACTGGTGCTGGCAGCAGGTCTTAATTAAAAGAAGATTACACTTGCCAGAGCTCATATCATATCAATTACTCTGGGAGTAGAAGGAAAAGGCAGGGAGGGAGGAGGAAGCAGAGATAGAAATGAAGGAGAGCGAGGGAGAAAAGGCAAAGGAAACACTTACTCCTTTTTCAGCGATTACTGTTAAATAGATGGGAAATGACTCTGTTGGAGTGACATTTGAGCCCCTCTAACAGTGGAGTGTAATGATGATGATGTCTGCTAGTTAACTTATCTGTCATTTTCTTTTACGCACATTCATCTCAGGAGCTCACGGGATTTGCGACGGCTATTCATAGAGAAAACGATTGTGTTGCCCTGTCATGTTTTCATACATACTGGTTTTGTTTGAGTCCATTAAAAAACGTTCGCAATCTGAGACYATAAACCCAGATACTGAGTGCTTTTTGTGACGTTTCCGTGGGGTTTGGGGAGGATTGGTTGTGCAGTCCAGGTGTTTTGTGGAGTTGGAAAAATATAATGCATGTGGATTCTGTGTGTGTGTGTGTGTGTGTGTGTGTGTGTGTGTGTG